TTGCCCCATTGTGGACCTTGCCATTTCTTCTCTTATCAAAACTCTGAATGTCACTGTTGAGAATATCCCTATGTTTAAAGAACCAGGGGATAAAAGACTAGCAGCCTTTTTATGGAACTATGTGCCCTCGCAGGTCCTGCCCTGCAACCTGCAGTTGCAACCATGTCCATCTGACAGACATTAGCTGCCTGATGCAAGGTTATGGTCTGGGGTCCTGGATCTATTATGACACATCCTTTTGTCCTCCAGCACCTAGGATCGATGCCAGAGGCCCTGCTTTATTGTGTTGGTGGGCTAGCTGATATTATAGGCTAGATATCCAGCATCAGCTTTCATGTGCGAAGGACACTTTGGCTTAAATGTTGGCCTGTGAAGCATTAGTGCACAAAACACCTCTTGCATACACACTTTGACGGGGAACACCTCTTTGGTGATTTCCTAGACAACTTCATTAAGGAAATCAATGGAGGAAGAGTCCCCTTTTGCTCAAAAACCCTTTACTCCTGAGGTTGAAAAGAGTTCCTCCCCCCTTTTGCTCAAGAAAAATAAGTCAAAATATCTATCTTGAAAACCCTTTACTCCTGACGTTGAAAAGAGTTCCTTTAATTTCAATTAGGTCTCTAGGTCCAAGGGCAAAGCTTTGAGCTCATTTCCACCATAGGTCCTGGACCCCCAAGTTTTCCAAGTCAGCAAGTGGCTACTCTTCACAGTAAGTGGGCACTCCCACTTGTCAGAGTTGGGGGACTTTTATTGGCCTTCAAAGACATCCAGTCACAAGACATTTCAGATGATTGAGTTTCGAACATTGGCACTGGAATTTCGGTCTCTACCTCCACACCACTTCATGTTGTCAAGTTTGCAGAAAACCTCCAAAGATTGGTAGACCATCACACTACTCTAGAACAGGCTCCTCATAGCTATTGTTCCAGAAAAGGAGAGGTTGTAAGGTTTATATTTAAACCTGTTCACCGTCCCAAGGGAAAAGGGAGCATTGGCCCCATTCTGTATCTAAAGATTCTCAACATCTTCCCCCAGGTACAAAATTCCATATGGAATTTGCTGGTCAGTCATTGCTTCCCTCCATTTTTCATATTTCTATTTTCCCAATGCCCACTACAGCAGGTAAGCACTCAACCAATTCTTGTTGCACAAATGCCATAGGAATTTGCCTCAATAAGATCAGTCCAATCCAATCCCTCCATTTATCCTTCATATTTTCTACTTCTTCAAACTTCTTCTTATACCATACCATCTATACCATACCATTTAAATCCAACAAAAATACACTCACAAAAAAGTGCTTCAAACAGGCAAAATTTCACCACGTGTCCATCCACATGTGATATCTGCAATTCTTACTCTTACCCTCTAGGTATTAATTACTCGCTCAAATGAATTCCCAACTTGTGCATTCTTGCTTCCAAATCGCTCCTTTTAAATGATTTTTCCTTCCAAAATTGAGGTACATATAGTGTAGTACTATCAACACTTAATATTGTGCTACTTTGTGCTCCCATGGTAATAAACCAATGACCACCAATGTGTGAGACAAAAATCCACCACCTTCCAAACCATGCACCTTACCAAATAGAAAAGGAAACACAGCTTCTCACAAATAGACTGCTCCTTAGTCAATATCGCTCTTGATGTTCTGTCTCAATGCCCATATGTATAGGTCAAAACAGAATAGACACCTTCGTGTAATATATATAGAAATACTTAATTTATACCCAGAGGGTAAGAGTAGGAATTGCGGATATCACATGTAGATAGACACGTGGTGAAATTTTGCCTGTTTGGAGCACTTTTTTGTGATTGTATTTTTGTTGGATTTATATGGTATGGCATAGGTAATGCACAACATGCACTTTCTATGTGATATTTCTTTGAAGGTTAAAAGAAGAAGAGGAGGATGTCACTTGATCAGGAATTTAAAGAAGTTTGAAGAAGTGGAAAGATACTGAAAGATACACATTTAGGAAGTGGATTGGATTGGACACTGGGAATTATCTTATTTTTTACTTCCTGGGTGGGAAGAGGCCTTAGTGACCAAGGGTTAGGTGTTATATAATGTTTGATGTGATTTATGTTGGATTATATTGTATGGTATTTTGCCCTCATCAGACTTTCCGTGGGTTCTCCCAGATTGTCCACATCTGTTGCCCCAAGGGCCAGTTTGACACCCTGCTTTTTGGTCCAGGACTGTAAGAGCTTGGCTGTTGAAGTCCAGGTCTTGAAGGGCAGGGGCTTATTGAATTCGATCAATGCTATGCTCTTGAAAACTAGAAAATGTATTTTTCGTTAAGTCTACCAACACATTTTGAAAGTGTTTTTTTTTTTTTTTTGTGGTGCGAGACAAAGAAATTTCATCCCAGGAAGTTCTCTGATGGACGAATTCTTTCTTTTGGCCTTGAATACTATCAAGGGTCAAATCTCAGAGTTATCAGTTTGTTTTCAGTGACTGCTTACCTCTCACTCCATAGTGAAGGGAGGCCTTTGTGCAAATTGTAGATTACATTGTACCTCTTGTACATTTCTCAGTGCCTCTGTGATTCAGCCTGGTTCTGTCGGTTTTTCAAAGACCTCCCTTTAAACCTTTCAGGGATATTTCTTTATCTATCTTTACTCACAAGGTTGCCTTTCTCATCACCAACACTTCTGCAAGGTGAGTTTCGTGGTAAGAAACCTTAACTTATAAAGAACCCTTTCTTGTGCTACACAGGGACAAGTTTATTTGGAGGTCCAGGGCCTCTTTTCTTCCCAAGGTGATCTCTACCTTACACCTTAATTATAACATTGTTCTACCACCTCTCTGTCCTGTCCCTAAAGATCCCAAGGAGAGTTCCTTCCCATCTCTGGACATGGTACGCACTGTTTGAGTTTATCTCTCAGCTACAGTGCTCTTTCTGTAGTCTGACTCTCTGTTTTTTCATTCCCATAGAGGACAGCCTGCTTCTTGTTCTACTATCACAAGGTGGATTCAACTGTTTATTATACAAGCTTAGGACCTTAAGGGCAAGGTTTCCATTTTCTCTGTTAGGGTGCAATCCACCAGATCAATTAGTGCTTCTTGGGCTTTTTTATATTGTAGTTAGATTCTATCAGGTGGATGTACAGGCCTCAGCTGTATGTGTAGCTGGATCTGAAGACTCTGCTGAGCCAATCCTGTTATTCTTTTGTTTGTTTTGTTGTCTAACCCTCAGTTGGACAGCATTTTGGCTTCCCAATGTACGGGAAAACTTATCCTGTGTTCCATAAAGTATGTTTAAGAAAACAGGACTTTTGACTTACCGTAAAATCCCTTTCTTGGAGTGTTATGAAACACAGGTCCCACTACTTTGTTCCAGTGAGTCACTCCTACTATTGCATGTTAACATAGCCGAGGCATACTGGGAGTGGGAGGGGTTATACTGAACTAATCTTACAACTTTGTTTTGCAATTCTCCAAACTCCTGCAGGCAGAAGTGTAACCTGATGTACCTGAATAATCATGCTTTGTTCCATAATGTACTCCAAGAAAAAGGATTTTACGTTAACCCCTTAAAGTCATCTACCAGCAGTCCTTTAAGTGCACTTTAATGCCTGGGAGGTGCATTTCCTCTGTATCATTTCCTCTGTATCATGTGATCACTGTAGTTTGCTCTCACAGCAGGCACATGATCAGGAGCCCACCCCTCTGGTTCTCAATCGGAAGCCTTCACCAAGAGCTGCCGATGACAACGTAGTCAGTGTACTGGGACTCAGTAATTAAATATGAGTAACAGAGGTACACATATTTAATCAGGGCAGATATAGGAGAATGTGTTTAGAACTGTGTCTGGGAAGCAAAAAATGTGCATAGTTTAATAAAACAAAATTGTCTCACTAATGAGACAAAACTGAGCTCTTAGTATTCCCTCCAGCCCGTGCCACCTCCACTGACTTCACCATCAAGATCAATAACACAATCATCAGTCCCTTGCCTCATACCAGGGTCCTAGGTGTAATCCTAGACTCACATCTGTCCTTCCAGCCCCAGATCCAATCGCTGACAAAATCATGTAGACTTCACCTCCGCAACATTTCCAAGATACGACCATTCCTAACCCCGGAAACCGCTAAGCAACGTATTCACTCCCTTGTCATATCACGCCTCGACTATTGTAACTCCCTCCTCATTGGCCTACCTCATCACAGGCTATCCCCACTTCAGTCTATCATGAATGATGCTGCCAGATTCATCCACCTTACTAACCGTTCTGTATCTGCCACCCCTCTCTGCCAATCCCTCCACTGGCTCCCAGTTGCCCAACGAAAAGAATTCAAAACACTAACACTGACGTACAAAACCGTTCATAACACTGCCCCAAATTACATAACCGATCTTGTCTCTAAATATCACCCAAACCGTACTCTCCGCTCCTCGCAAGACCTACTACTCTCTAGCTCCCTTGTCTCCTCCTCCCATGCTCATCTCCAGGACTTCTCCAGGGATTCCCCCATCCTCTGGAACTCCCTACTCCAATCTATCAGACTATCGCCTACTCACTGAAAACCTATCTCTTCAGTGAAGCCTATCCCGCCCTCTGCTAATACTGGAATCCTCTACTCTTCCAACCACTCCATCCCCCACAGTTATTACCTATTGTATCATGAACTGCTCCCTCCTAGATTGTAAGCTCCAAGGAGCAGGGCCCTCAAATCCCTCTTGTATTGAACTGTATTGTTACTGTATTGTCTCCTACTATAATGTAACAAACAAGAGATCCCTGTGCTCAAATCCCAACAGCTAGTGCATGCATTTATCCATCAGGTGCTAAAGGGGTGTAACCACATATTAACACTAGAAATTCTGAAGGACCCTCTGCACACTGGTACAGTATATACCCTTTCAAGCAGACTATGCAATAAATAGGGATATTTAGTTCACACATATTTACTATAATGTAAAACGCTGAGCAAACTGTTGGCGCTATATAAATCCTGTATAATAATAATAATGCATTTCTTTACTCTATTAGGAGAAAACAAATCCTCACAGTGTATTCACCAAGAGCCATTTGCTTTCAAGTGCCTTACAGATCTTCTTTGCTGGAGTGGAGACCACCAGCACGACACTATACTATTCTCTCCTAATTCTCCTAAAACACCCTGATGTCACTGGTGAGTAGAGTGATCACTATAAAAAGACTGGGGTTACATCTTTCTTTCTCATGCTTCCATATAGCAAGGTGTTAATTTGTACTATAATGCTGTAAGTGCTTTCAAATGGGCTCCAATCAAAACAAGTTCATTTTTATACTCTTCAAATGGCATATCTATTTAGATGCCAAAATGTAATCTTTTAACATTCTGGAGCCACGCTTTGTGTCATGTTTGAAATATCAAGCATAAAAAAAATAATTCTGCTATGAATTCATGATTAAACTTATAAAGCTGTCCAAATATAACTATGCAATGCCGAGTACTAATTGCAAGAAATACACTGTCATATTAGATTTTTTTAAATCTTGTAGCTAAGTTTCAAGAAGAGATTGACCGTGTAATTGGACAAAATCGCAGCTCAACAATGAAAGACAAGAGCTCTATGCAATATACGGAAGCCATAATGCATGAAATTCATCGATTCACAGATTTACTTCCATTGGGTGTACCACGGAAAACAGTAAGGGAGGTTACCCTGAAAGGATACACGATACCACAGGTACAATAGATGCCCTCCACTAAGATGTTGTTTAGTTTTCTTATGAAAAAGCTTACTTATGATCCTAATGTATGGCAATATACTGTATATAATGCACACTGATTAGCAAAGATGAAAATGTAACAATTCGTCTTGCCATTACAGTCAGATTTTAAAAAATCCTTGGTACTGCAGTCCTGCTTGCTAGTTGTGGATTTACCAACATCAATCTACATTTTTATTTTTAACTTTTGAATTTAAAGTGACTCCTGATCCCTCCGTATTGGCTATGATTTACAACAGTGGGAGCCAATGACTCTAGGCCAATTAGGAGGTAGAGAGCCAATTAGGAGGTAGAGACCTGGGAGAGCAGCTGCTCTCCTACACATCGCTGGAATGATATTGGGCTTAGGTAAGTATTGGGGGAGGGGACTGAGGGAGGAGCTGCACATTGAAGTTTTTAAAAACCTTCAGGCTTTAGAACCACTTTAAAATTCGAAGGGGTGTTAACGTTGGTAAACCTACAACTTTGAACAAAAAACCTGACATGGTTTGTAATCTAATTTAAATGTAATTATCTTTAAATATCCAAACCTCTTTACTAGAGGTGAGCTTGGGTTTCCTACAAACTCACCTCTATCTGAACATCAAAGTCATGCTCTTTTTTAGCTAATTGGACTAAAAAAGCGTGCAACTTTAATGTTCAGATAGAGGTGACTTCGGAGGATACCCAAGCTCATCTCTACTCCTTATCTGAGCTTCAGAAAGAGCCTGATGAATACAAGAACAAGGATATTTTATTGCACACCCAAGGCATAGTGGCTGTATTATTATAGTAAATGGCTTACACTGTAGCAGCTCTGACTATTTAGGATGGTGCAAGTGTGTCTCTGACAATAATAGATAGAAAGATACAGTAGATAGACAGATACATAGATTAGATTACATAATTTTTTTCACTGCCACGTTTCTCAAATATTTCAGGGCATCAATGTTTTCCCATTGCTCAGCTCTGTGCTTAAAGACCCAACCTGCTTCAAGTACCCAACAGAATTTAACCCAGAGAATTTCCTGAATGAGAACGGAGAGTTTCAGAAGAATGAAGCCTATATGCCTTTTGCTGCAGGTAGATTATCCAAAGGAAATATCTTTTATGAAAACTTCCTTTATGTTTGTCTTGAGACCTTTTTAGGTATTAAAATAGTTTACACTATTGTTAAATGAAATCAGATTGTTTTAATTTTCTGAAATGCTCTCTGCTCTAGTTCAGCCTTTCTTAACCTGTTTACCCCATAGGAACCCTTGAAATATTTTTCAGGTTTCAAGGAACCCCTGGTAAGATTAGTTTATCAGTGGTCATTGGGAAAATGCTCCTTACATTAATGGTGGTAAGTGGGAAAAATGCTCTCCCAATAGGGGGGCTAGAATTACACCCTTGCTGGTTTAAGTTATAAAGGTCTCCAGTCAGTTACTGTAATGACCTCATACCAGCCTGTTTTTGACACTGCTGCCAAGGATTTGTATAGTCAAGTACCATTTAAAGGATAAGTTCACCTTTCGTAACATGTTACATTACACCTATATTCACCTATATATGAAATCTGTTCCCCCCCGATCCCTGTTGTTACAGCTAGTAGAGGATCTCCTCCCTCCTTCTAGCTGTCACAATTTAAAAAAATGCGGCTGTTGTCTCGTAGTTCTCAATGAACTACCACAGCGCTGTGGAGCACCATGGTAGTTCATTGAGTCTTCCTGTAAGTAAGTATCTGCTTGCCCGTATGAGGTGTACAAGCACACAAATACATTGGCAGGTCTGCAGGGGACCTGCTTGGCACTAGTGCAATGCTTTACAGGCTCCAGAAACATAAAAAATAACAAATGCACATTTTTTTACCTGAAAAAAATGTGTATTTATTATTTTCTTTTAAAAGGTGAAATTATCCTTTAGTCTAGGTTCACACCTATATGTTTTCCATTGCGTTTTGCAGAAACACACAACAGTCCATTTCACACGATTTACTATGGGACAGGTTCACATCTCCGCGTTTTCACCTGGTGCATTTTTTGGAAAGGGTCAGGGACTTTTTTTATATGCAAAACATTGCGTTTTTGGTTCTTCAGACTTCAATGGAAATGCGGCAGGAAAGCATGTAGTGTATTTTTTATGCATTTTGCGTTTTAATCTGGCCAGCAACAATTTGGAACCCCCCAGCAAAACGGATAAAAAATGCATGCGCAATAATGTAAAATGCACCGCAAAACGCACCGCAGAAATGGATCAAACACAAACTGCATAGGTTTGAACCTAGCCTTAAATAGTATAAATAAGGTTTTCCTAACCAGGGTTCCTACAGAGATTGCTAGGGGTTCCTTGACCAGTGGCAAACTGATCTCCCAACTACAAAGACTACTGATGTCGGGGGACAATTTCCCACTGATACAGTTGCAAGAAAAAGTATGTGAACCCCTTGGGATTACGTGGAGTTTTGCATGAATTGGGCATAAAATGTGCTCTGAACGTCATCTAAGTCAGAACAATAGAAGAACACAGTCTGCTGAACATAATACTATACAAACATTAGATGTTGCCATGGTTTAATTGCACATAACATGTAAACATTCACAGTGCAGGGAGGAAAAAGTATGTGAGGCCCTAGCTTAATGACTTCTCCCAGAGCTAATTGGAGCCAGGAGTGAGCCAACCTTGACTCCAATCAGTGTGATGATATTGGATGTGTTGCTGACAGCTGTCCTGCTCTTAAAAAACACACACCTGTTTTGGGTTTACTGGTTTCAAGAAGCACTGTCTGATGTGAACCATGCCTCGCAGAAAAGAGCTCTCAGAAGACCTACAATCAAGAATTGTTGACTTGCATGAAGCTGGAAAGGGTTACAAAAGTATCTCCAAAAGCCTTGATGTTCATGTGTCCACGGTAAGACAGACTGTCTACAAATGGAGAAAGTTTAGCACTGTTGCTACTCTCCGCAGGCGCTGTTGTCCTGTAAGAGCACAGCGCAGAATGCTGCATGAGGTAAAGAAGAGTCCCAGAGTGTCAGCTAAAGACCTACAGAAATCTCTGGCACATGCTAACATTTTTGTTGACACATCTACAATAAGGAAAACATTAAACAAGAATGGAGTACATGGGAGGATACCACGGAGGAAGCCATTGCTGTCCAAAAAGAATATTACAGCACGTTTGAAGTTTGCAAAAGAGCACCTGGATGTTCCACAGCACTACTGGCAAAATATACTGTGGACAGATGAAACCAAGATTGAGTTGTTTGGGAAGAACACACAACACTATGTGTGGAGAAAAAAAGGCACAGCACACCAACATCAAAACCTCATCCTCACTGTAAAACATGGCGGTGGGAGCATCATGGTTTGGGCTGCTTTGCTGCCTCAGGGCCTGGACGGATTGTTGTCCTTCATGGGAAAATGAATTCCAGAGTTTATCAAGACATTTTGCAGGAAAACGTCCGCCAACTGAAGCTCCGCAGAGGATGGGTGATGCAACAGGACAATGACCCAAAGCATACAAGTAATTCAACAAAACAATGGCTGCAACAGCACAGAATACGCCTTCTGGAGTGGCCCAGTCAGAGTCCTGACCTCAACCCGATTGAAATGCTGTGGCATGACCTTAAGAGAGCGATTCACACCAGACATCCCAAGAATATTGCTACACTGAAACAGTTTTGTAAAGAGGAGTGGTCCAAAATTACTCCAGATCGTTGTGCAGGTCTGATCTGCAACTACAGGAAACGTTTGGTTGAGGTTATTGCTGCCAAAGGAGGGTCAACCAGTTATTAAGTCAAAAGGTTCACATACTTTTTCCTCCCTGCACTGTGAATGTTTACATGTTATGTGCAATTAAACCATGGCAACATCTAATGTTTGTGTAGTATTATGTTCAGCAGACTGTGTTCTTCTATTGTTGTGACTTAGATGACGTTCAGAGTACATTTTATGCCCAATTCATGCAGAACTCCACGTACTCCCAAGGGGTTCACATACTTTTTCTTGCAACTGTATTTGATGTAGGGGTCACGTCTACATTGACTTCCAAGGGGGCTTTTTCACCAATGTGAAGGGGCATTTCTCCACTGACCATAAATGTAAGGAAACACTTTTCCACTGACAAAAGGAATTTTTTTACAGCACCCTTTTTACAGGGCATTATTATTCATTAATTTTAATGATCATCATTCATATATAGAGCAAGCAAGTATTGTGTAATAATTGTCTCTACGTGGTAAATATTTTAGGTATACAAAATACATTATTCTTTTCTGTTCAATAAATTTTTATTAAGCAGCCCATAAATTATGCCATTTTCCTTCCTTTCACCATAGTCAGTGTTGTTGTGGGAATTTCCCCCATGGAGCTATTGTGTTATGCTGGTGGGGGAGCATTTCCTGTCAGTAGAACACAATGATCACTGCTGGTGGATATAGCCATTAGCAGTGACAGCTTGAAAAAAATCCAACAGGTTGGTTGTACTGATGTCGATCAATAGATTGACTTCAGTACAACCAGCCGGCCCACAGATAGATAAAATCTCGGCTGGCCCCTGCTGAACTGGCCGAGATTCAATCCATCTATGGCCAGCTTTAGTTTCAAAAGTAGAAGGTATATCCATAAAAGTTATAAAAGTTATTGTTCACAACTTGTTTTCAAGAATGTATTCATATCAAACACACTTTACCAGTAAGTACAAGCAACAGTATGTTGAGAAAGGCTGGTATTTGCCAGTCACCTTTTTTCCTTTTAGACTTTACTACTGTAACAAATGATGCTCCTATAGCTAAAAACAGAAGATATGAGTCTGGGCTAAAGTACAGTAAGTAGTGTGGGGTTTTGATGATTTTTCTCTATGCAGCTAAACAAGTATCATTTAACAAATAAGATATATAAACTTTATTTGTATTTAAAATAAAAGTCTATATTAACCTACTCCTCTCTTACATTTTAGGGAAGAGAAATTGCCCTGGAGAGCCAATGGCACGAATGACACTTTTCCTCTTCCTCACCACCATCCTGCAGAACTTTGACTTGAAATCCTCTGTTCCCCTTGAAGAGTTGGACATTACGCCTCTCGTATCTGGACTTGGAAACTTGCCTAGGAATTATAAATGTGCATTTATAACCCGCTAGTTGATGCAGGCCTATGGGCTCCAGATAACATTATTAAAGGGGCCCTGAATAGAAGATAAAGTGTAGCTGTGGTGTCTTTTCATGTGGTAAGCTGACTGAGGAATAGGTGCCTCAGTGTTGGGTTTAAGGTAAGAGTTCTGTGAACCAAAAGACTCAAAACCAAGACCAGTGGTTCTCAACCTGTGGGTTGTGACCCCTTCGGGGGTCGAATTACCCTTTCACAGGGGTCGCCTAAGACCATCGGAAAACACATATTTCTGATGGTCTTAGGAACTGAGACACCGCTCCTCTATCCGTCTCCAGGCGGGTCCACCCTTATGCAGATATGCCCACATATTCTGTTAAAAGCAGCTACTGTGTTGTAAGCAGCAGTATTGGAGGTAAAACGACACTTCATGAATTATAATTACTGGGTAAATGTAAAAAACATGTACTGTAAAATCATCAACTATTGCAAAAATAAATATCTGTACCATGGGAACTTAATCTGGATGCTGATCGGTCTTTTTATATTCAGCTGTGGTTGATGTAAATACTGCCCCCTTGTGATAGTAATTATGCTTTAATTATGTTCAATTTGTAACAATGAAAATACATCCTACATATCAGATATTTACATTACAGTTCATAATAGTAGGAAAATTACAGTTATGAAGTAGCAACGAAAATAATTTTATGGTTGGGGGTCACCACAACATGAGGAACTGTATTAAAGGGTCGCGGCATTAGGAAGGTTGAGAACCACTGACCTAGACCATCCATTATGCAGGTTTGCATAATTATACTCTGGAGAAACTGTGGTTTATTATAAATACTGTATTAATGCAACCATTTAAAGCTTATCTATACAATAGCCAGGGTTAACACGGTACAAACCAATTGCTGTAATCAAAAATGTTCAATGGAGTCTTCTATATGTTGGCTCCCTAGGTTGTAAATGGGCTGACACAGCATCCAGCTTAAGGAGGAACTACTCTCTCAATCAGCATTATCTATTTGCAATCCTTATGCTGTTAGCCTTAGTAAATACACTGCTGAAAAAAATGAAAGGAACACTTTTTAATCATATAAAGCATCAATTCAATTAAACTCCTGGGATATTGATCTGGTCAGTTACGTAGCAGAGGGGGTTCTTAATTCGTTTCAGCTGCTTTTTTAATGAAATTAACAGGTGCACTAGATGGGAAAACAATGAGACGACCCCCAAAACAGGAATGGTTTTACAGGTGGAGGCCACTGACATTTTTTCCCTACTAATTTTTTCTGACTGTTTTTCACTAGTTTTGCATATGGCTAGGGTCAGTGTCACTACTGGTAGCACGAGGCAATACCTGGACCCTACAGAGGTTGAACAGGAAGTCCAACTCCTCCAGGATGGTACGTCAATACGTGTCATTGCCAGAAGGTTTGCTGTGTCTCCCAGCACAGTCTCAAGAGCATGGAGGATATTCCAGGAGACAGGCAAATACTCTAGGAGAGCTGGACAGGGCCATAGAAGGTCCTTAACCCATCAGTAGGACTGGTATCCGCTCCTTTGTGCAAGGAGAAACAAGATGAGTACTGCCAGAGCCCTACAAAATGGGCTCCAGCAGGCCACTGGTGTGAATGTTTCTGACCAAACAATCAGAAACAGATTTCATGAGTGTGGCCTGAGGGCCCGATGTCCTCTAGTGGGCCCTGTGCTCACTGCCCAGTACCATAAAGCTCGATTGGCATTTGCCATTGACCTCTAGAATTGGCAGGTCCACTACTGGCGCCTTGTGCTTTTTACAGATGAGAGCAGGTTCATTGTTTTGATGACCAAAGTGCAATACGAACAAATGTGTCACAATATATTATGCAATAAAGACTGGTACTGTTCTATATCTAGTGGATTTGTGAGCAGACTATAATGATTTAATTAACATGGCCTATATGAAGGCATTAATTCACAAAGACACTATGACTTCCTTAATACACAACACCATCGTGATCCTACGTTCTATGCATTACCGAAAAGTCACAAACATTCTACAATTCCACCAGGATGACCTATTGTATCGGGAATAGATTCTTTAACTGAAACTGCCAGTAGATTCATCAATTTTTTTTTTTTCTCATGCCCCATGTTGTATGATTGCCATCATACATCAAAGATACTTTGGATTCCTTAAGACAATATTCTGAAGTAAAGAAGATTTCTCCTGATGACAACCAATTGATGGTTGGGTTGTGGGCTCTTAGCCAAGGCATGCTGAGAATAACTGGAAAAATCGGGGAGGTAATGATGTCTAAACATAGGAGTTCCTGGTGTCCCGAAGTAGAGTAGCAGAATATTGGCATGATTTCCTGTGTTACAAGGCCAGAACTGATACCAGATCTGTCTGCCAGATGAACTGCAAGTCTCTGTGCTTTGGTCTGGAGTGGAATATGGTTTTGCATAGCGAAGTGAGCATCCATAAAGCAGCTACAGGACCTGAATCTATGATGGCTGGAACCATGATTGTCCTTTTGGGCCAGCTGTAGCTGCAGATGAAAGGAGAGATTCGCCCGGCTTGCCCCTTGAGGGTGCATCATGTAGAAACAGTTGGGAGAGGACTTATGGGATTTGGCTGGGCAGGTGGCCACGAAATGACCTGCATCACCGCAGTAGAGGCAGAGGTTGGACTTCTGCCGGTGAAGGCGTTCCGCTGCAGATAACTGCGGTCTCCAGAAACCCCTCCTAGTGGAGTTGGTGAGTGATGCTGATGATGCCACATTTGTAGAGGGCCCTATTTCAGAGCATATCAAAATCTTCCCATTAATCCTCTCGCTCTGCCTTTCCCGAATTCGACAGTCAATATGAATCGCCATGTCTATCAGACTCTCCAACCTGGTTGGCACCCCCACTCGGGCCAGCTCATCCTTCAGATTCTCGGAAAGACCGAGGCGGAACTGATGGCGGAGAGCAGACTTGTTCCACTGAGTATCAGGACTCCAGATGCAGAAATTGGCGACATAGTCTTCCGCAGGTCTCTGGCCTTGCTGTAGCTTACTGAGCATCATTTCAGCGGTTTGGCGCCGGAAGGGATCATCATAGATTTGTGCCATTGCTGTATAGAGTAAGTCCACAGAAGCTAAGGCCAGGTCATGTAACTCACGGAGATGGTAGGCCCAGAACTGAGGTTCATTTCTGAGGAGTGTGATAATAAATCCCACCTTAGTGTTAGATGATAAGAAGGTCCTGGGGAGCAGGGAAAAATATAACTCACAGGAGTTATGAAAAGTCCTGAACTTCCTGCGATCCCCTGTAAAGAACTCAGTCGTAGGTACCCGGGATTCCGGCAGAGCAGAGGCTTCAATGGTTATACTGGTCTCTGTTTGGGTGACCGCATCGAAGGTAGTCATGAGGTCTGTGTCTATGAGGACATTAGAGTCGGTTCGCAGTTTACTCTCCAGGAGTTCAAAGTTTTTCTGTAACTCATGCATCACGTTGAACAAGGTAGTTACTGCTTGGCGAATGTCCCCCAGTTGCAAGGCCTCCCTTTCAGACTCCTTCACTGGCTGACTGGTACTGTCACGTACCTGATAGGAGACTGAATTGATGAGGTCAGCCTCACTTGTGTCACTAGCCCTGACCCCGCTGAGGTTGGAACAGAGGGAGTCTAGGGACTAGGGGGACAAGAGCGCCAGTCGTTGTTGCTTGAGGCTCTTGCAGATGATGACCGTGGTAGGCAGAGTATCCTCTGATTTGGGTACCGTAGTAGCAGACAGAGCAGGTTCTGGGTAATGCCTGATGTGCAGCAGAGCAATGTAGGTAGCCAGGACACGGGACAGGAGCAGGGTCATAGGATAGCCAGGGTCATCGGATAGCCAGGGTCATCAACAGTTGGGCAGCGTGGTACAGAATCAGTAGGAAAAGCCAAAGTCAGGAGCAGAACCGAAGTCAGGAACCAGGAGCAGGAGAGTAATCGGAGTCAGGTCAGGAACAAGCCGGGTCAGCAACAAGGAATCGTACAGGAGCAAGCAGGACACGGGGGAGCTAAAGACCAGTCAGCACTGAACCAGAGCAGAGGCTCTCTTTAAATAGCCCATCTGGCGCCAATCTTCACCGGGTGCGTGCATGTGCGCGATCGCGCATTCCTGCGCACCTGCGCACAACCGGCAGCTCTTCTGCAGAATCTCTTTTGCGCATGCGCATTCCCTTACAGGCTCAGTTTCTGGTGTACTGGATATGCCTGATTTTTTCATTGTTGTTGATGTTGTTGGTCAAGACTTCTGGGTCATGTGTAGCGGGTGAATATGGGGGTAGGTGGTTGGCCATACGAATGCCCAGGGTGCCCTTCCATAGGGTGGAGATTTTTAGCACCCTGACTGTGGGTGGTACTCTTATGGTGCCTGCGTTTGGGACTGTTGCCCCTCTCCTGCCCTTATCCATTGGGCTCCTTTGGGGTTTTTGCCATGTTCTCCAATGTTGCTTGAGTGGGGACACCTCTCTAGCTCTGTGGGTTGGGCAAGATGGCATGGGCTCTGTCCTGGGCATACGAGTGACATCATTGCACAGCGTCGTTGCACCAGGGTGTCACGTGAGCGGTGACGTCACATCTGCAATTTGGCACTCAGTAACATCCACATCTCACAGGTGTTGGTTACACTTGTGGGTTGGGGGGGTATTTAAGGGCCCCTTGGGTCGCACCTATCAGTTTTAGCATACACCAAAAAAAGAAGTCAAGGGGGTTAAGTTCTGATGAGATTATATAGTGATATATAATACACGTGTGTGTGTGTGTGTGTGTGTGTATATATATATATCCACATATACTGATATTTCCTATGTGTTCAGACTTTCGAGCATCCTGTAGAACTGTGACTATGCCAGTCTTTTCCATCTGCAAAGGCTTTCCAGAAGATTTTAGAGTGTCTGTAAATGTGCGCTAATTTAGCCAAAAGAGCATTTGTTAGGGTTAGGCAAGAAAACTTGGCTCACAGTCAGCACTCTGTGTTCAGTAGGGTTGAGCTCAGATCTCTGTGCAGGCCACTTA